GGGGGGCTGGGGGACAGGACCATGGAGGGACCTGCGCCAGGCCCCATCCCTTGCCTGCTCCCCCAAACCTCCTGAGCACCCCCCAACCCCTGCCCACTCTCCCAGCCCTCCCCTGCCCATGGCTGCCCCACCCAGCTCCCCGTTCTTTAAAAAAAAAAGCCCTGCAATAACCAGCTGCTGCAGCGGCTATTGGGGCTTCTGGGTGCTCATGGCAGAGCCCCCCACGCAGTGCGGGGAAGTGGGCAGCAGCGAGGATCACCCCACCGCCCCCACCAACCTGGCAGCAGCCAGTGAGTGGGCCTTTATTTATTTATTTAAAGAGCCGGGAGCTGGGGCTGGGCAAAGCAGCCATTGATGGGGCTGGGAGATCGGGTGGGGGGTGGGGCCTGTCCAATTGGGAGATTCAGCAGCAGCCAAATCTCCAAATCAGATTCGGCAAAACCGATTTGGGACAGAGATTTGAATCACCGAATCAAATTAGTGTCCCCCAAATTGGCCGAATCCAAATCTGAAGCGAATACTAGCCACTTCGTACAGGCCTAAACATACATAGTGCAACAGAAAAATTAAAGCTCACCTCTTTTGTAATGTACAATCTGAGGTTCCCGAGGTAATACAGTCTGGCAGCTGTCAGGGATTTTGTTGATGGAGTTATCACAGACCTGAGCCTCTGGATAGAGGGTGCAGACGAAGTAGGTGCCTGTGGTGCGCTGAAGATCCACCAACTGACAGAACGCATCCTCTTGTGTACAGCCTAGGTGGCAGAGAAGTTTAATTTAGAAAAACAAAAACAAATAAAAAAACAGTGTTTGTTCCTTTCTTCATTCCCCTTCATCTTTGTTAATAATTCTGAATAGCAACCCTATCACCCAGCTACATACTAGTAAATGACAGAGGTCTCTATCATTATGCTCTTATTGTATAAGAAAAATAGGGACAAATTCTGTCTTGTATGTTACACTACTGGAAATCCAGAATAATTTCACTGACATCAATAAAGTCACTTTAAATGGGGGCGACAGAAAGAAGGAGCTAGTTCACAAGTTTTATTTATTTCAGATAATCTTTGAGTAAAAAATGGCATCGTAAAAGAAAAGCAATAGATAGTGTTATCTCCTTACTAGTTCACAACATAATCGTTTCAACAACAATGGATGCGTCAGTGTCATATGTATATTTCTTTGGGTTTAAAAACAAAATAAAAATATGCTCAAACTTTTTTGTAGATGTTTTGTTAGCAATTGACCTTGAAATTCATCCCATGATAATAATGTGCTTTAAAAATAAAGAAACTGATCGAGCCAATTTCTTAGTTATTACGGCACTGGATTTCTTCACCTTTTACAACTAACTTTTTTTTTTTTTTTTTTTACTGTTACTCTATTACTCTCTACCTGGGAGTGAGATGGATAGCCCAAGTTATGAGTAGCTGTGTCTACGCTAGCAAAAAAATGATACCTGTAATTCTCTGAGGCCCTGCGTCAAACAGCGTGCAGCATTCATGTAGAGAACACCACAGGGTTTCTAATGCTCTCATCTAAGCTGCACAGGTGACACGGTGAACACTGCTTATGCTGGTTTCTCTTGCTGCCATACATCCAGAGAAAATGCACTGGTGATAAAGTGCCAGTGTTTGCCACGGGAGGCAAGGGTACGGGGGGGAAAATGGAGTGGGGGCTGTGTTGGCAGCTTTGTATAACTTGGACATCCTCTCAGTGAGGCTTGTGATTATAATACCTGATTCCTACATGAATTTGCTCCTCTGCCTTTGAAAAATCTTCAAGTGTAACAGCCATGACCATGAGAGTTATTCAAACATTTCAGTTCATTGTACATCTCCCCACTCTCCTGTAGAATAGAAGCAGTTAAGACTTCTTACGAGTGAGACACCAGCGTGTTGCCTGCTTTAAGGAAAACTTGTGCTTGAAGAGCCAGTATTCCTGGGATGGGAGGGAACGGCTAGGGTCAATTTGTATCAGGCTGTTGTCCATGACAGAGAAAAGTTCTGCTGCAGATTCTGAGATGGAAAAAAAAAAAAAAAAGAGCAAGTACTTATTTACAAATCTGGAATAAATTAAGAGTGTTTATACATAACACTCTTCATTTCACAGTGTAACTAGTGCACAAGCCATTAAGGACTGGCTTTGAAACAGAGCTGTCTCAGTATTTTTATTGGGCTTTGTGCCACAACTTTATCTGTCTTTATCTTTCTTTTCTCCAAAGTCATTAAGGAGGCTCAACCTCTTCATGACCTAGTTTACTCATAACATCTCCAACATCCAAAAATTGAAAAAGAATCACAACCATCAGCAACAACAACACTCTATTGTTTTATCCAGTCCATCTAGATGTCAAAAAAGGATCGTTCCTTAAAACATTTTCTAGTGTTTTATCCAGGTCACGTTTCACTATCTGAAGCCATGCAGTTTCCATATGTTCTCTGGAAAAGCTAGTCCACACCCCACTGTCAAAAAGTTTTTCCTACTAGTAAGCCTAAATGCATTTTTTATTAATATAATCCCACACTCCTAGTTATGCTCCCATGCACCACCTTATATAATTCTTCTATATCTTCGGTGTACATGTGATTCTTCAAAAGCTGCTTTCTGTGAACTGTCTCTGAGCCAACCTCAGCTATTTCTAGCTCTTTTTTAATCATTTTCCCATAAGTAACAGCCTGTTCAAACCTCTGAATATTTTTTGCTACACTTCAGTGATCTCCTTCCAGTTTAATAACTACCTTCTTATTTGTCAAATAGCATGAGCACACCTCATCAAACATCGCTTTGGCTCTGTTGAACTTTTGTGTTAGTCCCTGAAGCATTAAAGTCACTGAAAAATGTAAACACAAAACCAAAGCAGAGCTAATACTTGAAGAACAAATGCTAACCCATGTGATCATGTCCTAAAGTGCACAGGGTGGTTATGTCTCTTCTTTTATGAGAAAATATGAAAATTTCTGAGTTCTAAACACAATCACACAGGGATAAAGCGCTTGGTTCTTGCATAAACTTCCTCCAGATTTAGCAATTGCTATGTTTGAGAGATTACCTGAATGCCTTGTTACTTGTCAAAATCCAGTTTCAAGCCTTTGGTTTCCTAAGATTCTCTGAAAATAGCAGATGACATGACTAATACTTAAATCATAGTGCAGAAATCTGCATTCCTTGTATTGCTTTGGGATTTAATGATATCATCAGTGGTTGCAGAGAAAATGGAGAACCCCCTAGGCCTAGATTTATGTCTTGACAGGTAACTGAAAAATGAACTTAATCTATATTTTAACTGTACTTTCCCCAAAGATTGAAGTCTAGACTTGTGTTCTGCTAATTGTATGGGAGCTCAAACAGGTAAATAGGAAATATACTTTGCAAAAAGGTGAACCAGAGCAGGAAAATCAAATACCTAACCTGTTTTATTATTGCACATACATTAAACCACATCATCTCCCATAGATACCCATCAAAGCTCAAGGAGAAAGTACATAACAAGATGTGTTAAAATGCTGTTATCATGAGTTCAAGTTCTTATCTTGGTTCTTCTCTGGCATATACTAAGGGCAGATGTCTATGTAAATGTGCAATTGAGATCTGATTAATTTTACCCTGAATCTCAAAAACAGAGAGATTTTTGGGATCCAAGATAAAATTCAGCAGGCCCCAGTTCTGCAAGTGCCAGAGTGAAAGGAGCCTGGGAGCAGACCTTCAAAGGAAACATGACCTCACGGACTCCAAAGATGCACTTCCTGAAGTGTCCTTTCTAACTGGTGGCACTCACAATGCCAGGCTCCCCAAGCACTCAAGCCTTTAAAGATATACTGGGTCGCCCAGCATTGGGGAAAAGGTTCATTGATGCCAGACTTCATGGCATGGCTTTGCAATGGCCAGGCTGTGTCCCATCAATTGCAGATAAATGTAACATCTGTCAGGCACCTAAGAGATACTAATCATTTTGATGAAGTTATTGTGGAATTGTGTTGTCATAACCAAGAGCAGAATTTGGCACAGCAGATGGACTACATAACCCAAGAAACCTCTTCAAACTCCAATGTGTGTGGATGAGAGGTCTGATGTTCATTTTATGCTTAGCTCTGTTAGACACCCCTAAGTTTGCAGGGCCAGGCCATCTTCTAGTGTTAATCTGCATAGCTGCATAAATATGTTGATCTATACCAGCTGAGAATCCAGCCCTTTGTGTTTACTCAAAAGCTTATTTGAACAAGGCAAACTTCCAGCATCTGGAAAATTCAGCTGGAAATGTCATGAGAAGAGCCTTCCTGTGATGTTTCAGCTCTTCCACTTCTGGTCTGGCCTGTCTATGTGCAGAGACATGTGAAAATGAAAAATGATGCGACTCTGGAAAGCAATTTCAGCAAGTTTTGTTTTGAACAAATGTATCTAAACCTAATCACATTCCCCATGGAAGAGAAAATTATTACATTTGGCAGTAAATGTTTTAGGAATACATGGTTCAATTCTACATCTCCTTAATCTCATTCTTCTTGTTTAATAAATAGTACCAGAAGTTTCCTCCTTGTTATTTCTGTACCTGATAACGTTAGGCCAGTCTGCGTTTGGAGAACAGCAGCATCACATGCAGAGGACGGCCTCCGGGTAATCATATTGGAACCTGGAATGCAATGGCAATTAAGCTCATATTCATTCTATCTGAAGTTTTTCTTTAAGACATGGCCATCACTGATCCCTTAACAATTTGTTAACTAACTTATATAGTACAAATTAACAGGCAACATTAGCAGCCCAACTCTATGATGGCAAACTACATATATAAATTTTACCAAATGAAAAAACAACCATATGGATAACATCTTTGCACTGAACTAGTTAAGCCACAAGTAGAGTATCTGTCCCCATACATCCAAGTTATATACAAATGTCATCAGCTGAAGTTAAGACGACTTTTTTTCTCCGGGATGTGCAGTACAGTTGCAATATATTATGGGGGGAGGGAGGAAGGATTTACTGTCCTCTCTGATGAGTCCAGCATTGGCTACTTGTATAGACGCAACCAGATTAGTACAGTCATTAGTGTGCTCTGATAAGGCAATTTCCTTATTTTGATGGGAAATTTTCAAAAATGCTGTAAATCTGTTACGCACTTTTGGAAATCCCATCCTTCTACAAGCACTTTTGGAAATCCCATCCTGGTGAACAAAAATGAATCCAGGAAATTCAATATCTATTCATAATTAAAAACCATTCAATCTCTGTACACTAGATGCACACACCTTATGGCCTTTTAGTCATGGTTACACACACCAGTTTATGAAACTTCTGTCCCAGACCCCAGTCAGGGTTTGGCTAGAGGGGGAGAGTGGGGGTTGGGGGGGGAACCACCCTGCCCTCCAGCCAAACCCTGACTGGGGTCTGGGGCCAGGGAGGGGGTTAAATACCCCTTCCCCCACTCAAGCTAACTGCTGGCTGCAACTGTGGACTACAAATCCCAGAGGCACCTGGAAGCAGGAACCAATGAGCAACCCTGCAGAGTCCTGCTGCTATGAATCTGGACTGCAAATCCCAGAGATCTTGGGGGCAACAGGAAGAAGTAGTGAACACACAGCCAGAGAGCCATGCTCTTTCATCCCCTCTTCCCCTGGCTTCTGGCTTGAGCCACTGCAGGCATGTGGCCCCATTTCCTGAATCAAAGGTAAATGTCTATAATGTCTGTTCACTTCTGTTTCCCTTTAATCTGTTCATCTTTGACTAACCTCCAAAGACTGAATCAATTCAGCCTCAGGCTTTCTGACTGTCTGTACCTAGCCATGAGAAGAGTGGCTTGCATCACCATGGTAGCTTCTTACACAGGTTTCAGAACCATAGAGCTAGTTTTCTTCTCATTAACAACGATTTACACAAGTGGTACCTCATGATCAAACTGACCTCTCCATAGATAAACCCGTTGAAAACTTGTGAAGAATCCTTCTGGCTCTTCTGGAAGCTCAGAAGCTGACAAAGAGAGACATCATTTAGGGTAATTAGTTAAATCAACATGACATTTCTACTGAAATGCTTAGAAATCACATTAGAGCAAATGCAGCAGTTCGGTATCACACCTTGCTATGTAGAATGCAAATCCCAAAACAGAAGAATTATCTAGTGGTTAGGATCTCATCCTACTTCTTTGAAGGCCAGAGTTCAATTTCCTGTTCCTGTACAAACTTTTCTGTGCGACCTTGGACAACTCATATAGGGTATACTGTCACTACAGAATTAATCTACGTTATCTGCATCTATGTTAGCTCAGCCTAGTCCAAAGAGCCACGTTGAAAAGCTATATCCAAGTCACTCTGGGCATTTTTACGTGTGCTCTCTGCGTGGGGGGCGCTTTCATTAGAGTGACTACGACAGCCGCTCTAATGAAAGCGCCCGCAGCATCTTATCCCTGCACTTCAAAATGGTGGCAGGGGCATTTTAACTAAAGCTTGTTGAACAAACTTTAACTAAAGTGCCCCCTCGCACCATTTTCAAGCACAGGGACGCTGATGCATGAGATGTGGGGACTGTCTGGAGCACACTAATTAGCATGCTCAGCAGACTCAATTAATCAAATCTGCTCCAACGCACTGTAATTACAGCATGTCAGAGCAGCCTTCCTGCGCATGTACAGCAGGCAACCTGTTCTCAGGACAGAAACCTGAGCTTGCCTGTGTATGATTCTTTTCTACTGAATTGTCAGAGGAAATATCTGTCCTCCTTGGCATGTAGAAAGAAACCTGGGAAACCAACTGAGGACAAAACAGTTGTGGTCAAACAATGCAGATCTTCAAAACTGAAAAAACTATTCATGGGAAAGAGTCAGCTTTAATTGCACTCAAAATTTTGAAATCACTGAAATATCCCATTTCAACATTTGCAAAACTAAGTTGCATTTTACATTTCAAATACTTTGCATTTAGAAATCTAAGTTAATTTATAAAAAAGAAAATCTTTAAAAAAATAGAAAGGTTAAACCTGGAGCAAAAATGCTTCAAAATGATGAAAACTAAGTTTTCAGTTAGACCTGAACCTAATACAAACACAGACACATGTATGAGCACACACACACTATTGGTATGAATGAATGTACATCCCCTCAAATCTTAATAATATATATGAATATACAGTAATATACCAGGGTGATGGAATATATAATATATAAATATTAGGACTTCGGAGCATTAGTTTTGTCAAGGTTCACCCTTTTATTCTACTTTATGGTGCAAAATAAGTTTGATATTACAGGAAATTTCCCAGGAAAGAAAAAATGTTTCCCACTAGCTCCAATTACCAACCTGAGTAGCAGCAGCACCTGAAAGCTTGTTTATGCCCTAGCCAGGCATTAAAACACTGCCAAACTCAGGTGAAAGGGTTGTGTTTGTGACTATGAGTTGAATTAGGAGAAATACCACAGTCAGAGCCTGAATTAACTCAACAGTGAAGACAGACCTTTAGTCTCTCTGTCCCTTACCGGATTCTGTCACAGAGGTGCTATGAGGATAAATACTAGGCCTGTGCGAATAGGGAACTATTTGGTTCAGGTTCAGATTCGGCTGATTCAGATGCCAGCCATTTGATTTGGAGCTCTGAATTGGTTTCTCACTTTGATTCAGCTCTGAAGCTTCGGAGCCTATTTGGAGATTCAGCCATAGAGTATAATAGGGAATCAATAAAGTATCTATAACTTTGTTGTTTTTTGTCCAATTTGGATGAAACTTGCAGGGATGGTAGCTTCTGGGGAGAGCATGAAGGCTGCCAAGTTTCAAGGAAATAGGTATATGGGTTTGGGGAAAACTGCACCCCAAATTCTTGAAAGCAAAACTCATGTCACGCGTGTGTGTTAAGCCACAATGGGATCAAAACTGCAGGGATGGTAGCCCCTGCTGAGGCTACAAAGCCTGCCAAGTTTCAAGGAGATTAATGATCAGGGGGTGATCAAGTATCCTGGAAGCAAGGACAATAAAAGTACCTCAGACAGATGGATGCATGTTCACACTCGTATCACTATTGCCAGTATTTATCTAGATCCTTATAGTGAACCCATCTGGATGTTAGTAACAGTCAATAATATTGTCTAACCAGTTGCAGAGATAGTCATTTGATATACAGCACTTTTCATTTTCAAAATGGTGCCTAAACCTATCAACAGACTTTCACAGAACTGCTATGAGACAGGCAGCTGCGATCATTCCCTTGCTACAGAAGATATAAAACTTTGGCAAAGAGGTTAAGAGACCCAAGGTCCTTATTCTGAACCAGGTTTTGTGCCAGCAAAGCCTACTATTGACACCTTTCCGAATTCAGTGAAGTTGTATGCAGCTAGGCTCAGCTACAACACAGATCTATTGCAGTATCAGAATCCATATTTTCATGAGTATCCAGTAATATGGATGAAGCAACTTTAGCCATCCAGGCTGAGATGCTACAGACAAGGTTTTTAGAAAGACAGAGTACTCACAATAGGGAACAAGTTGTGTTCTACACCTCTAAAGCAGGCCCTGCCTGGTGGCTAAAATTGAAGGCATCCAAAATTAGTAGACATTTGTGAAACTTTGAGGCTTAAATTCTCAAAACCTGAACCCCAAACTCCACACCCATTATACATGTAAAGGAGTGAAGACAGGCAATTACACACAAACACAGTTTAGAATAAGAAAATCTATGGACTTACTTCCCATGAACACTTGTCCTCCCAGACTGAAAGAAAACTCCTTGCCTTTTTCATTATAGTTCACACCTTTACATATCTCATCTGTTCCAGGTATGGAGGTTTGACTCCAGTCATTTGTATTGCAGATGAGTACATCAGGGTAGCTCATCAGTCCACATAGGATAGTACCTGGATTCAAATGATGAGAGAACTGTAGGCTTCTGGTAATACTTTGCACTTACCCAGCACTTTCCTCTTTACAACCATTTAATAAATCACATTGTTAAAGAGAGATAACAAAACACTGCTACTTCCACATAGAGAAGTGGAGACTCATATAGATAGGGCACCCTTTTCAAATCTGGATTCTTAAAATTAGACAGCTAAATTCATATACAATCCTGCTTCTTGGAGCTGGATGCCCACTAATGTCAAACACCAACAACAATGCTAGGTACTCCACAAGAGGTCAAGGGTATGTCTACACTATAGACTATCGTATAACATAGAGGTGTGCTAACAAGTCATTTTGGGCAAGTGAAATGGTCAGACTAACTCAGTGGAGGACAACATTTTTGGTAGGCATACCACAAGGCAAGCCCTACATCCTCCCCAAGTGTCACTCTGATCCCCTTCCCCTACCCAATCTGTTGCTCTGCTTTCTGCTCCCTGCCTGATCTGTTATATTCGCTGGTCCCTGCCTGATCTGCTGCCTGCCACACAGAGGTTGCTCGTGTCACTTGTGGCCCACATCCCTGGGCTAATTTATTTTGCCTTTTGTCAGCACAGACAGAGAGAAACATTTCCTGCCTCAGACATCTTGCAGCCTTTTGGACCCTGACCCAGTAGACCACTTCAGTTTTTCTTTAAAAGTTTTGCTGGACTTGTGCCTGACTTAAGTCAATTTAGGACTCAGTCTTCCCCAGAGTCATAATATGAGTCAGTGGCAAAACTAAGCTTAAAACCCATGAGGTCTGGCTCTCAATCCACTGCTATAACATCTATTCACAATGTACTCTTGCTTTGTAACTGCTGTCGTGACTCAGACATTTTTGTGGTCTTAAAATCCCTTCTGGCATTTACTGTATGTAAAGAATCCTAACAAATGCCGTAATTATTTAAACAAAATAGCACCCACATTTCTGGCCATGACTGTAAAACAGACTAAACTAGAGCCAGTCAGATTTTCTTGCTGATTTGGTTTTTCATCAGAAAAATCCAAATAATCCAAACCTAAAGTCTACATGGGAAAATACCAGTGTCCACAAACCTGTCACTGGGAAAGTTTTATTCTTAAACCCAGGAAATCCTTGGTCAAAACTGGATAGAAAAAGAGAGGACACATCTCAGAATAGCCATGAAGCTGTTTTCAGTGCCCTCATCTGGGATGTTTTAGACTCATACGCCTGCCTGAGTACAAGCAGACTTGAGAACAGACTTGAGCCTTGACCTCTTGCTTCCTATCAAGCTATTAGGTCTTCTGTCTTTCTCATCTTTTGTGCAAAACTTTCAAAAAGGGCTTGGTTTCATCCTGACACTGATGAGGAGTGGGAAAATGTTTGACATCTCATAAAATTCTGTAAGATTGAAAATACATTTCCCAGTGAGCTTTATACTAAACAGAAATGGGATTATTAGTTTCATTAGAATTGCAACAAATCAACGCAGTAGCTGATAAGTAAGGCTCATTATGCTGCTGCCTTGTTGCATGGATCATAACAGAACACCGTCCTCTGTTCTTCATCGTTATTCAGGATTTTAAAATGAGATGAGCCAAAAGCCTAAGCAATGAAACATGTGATGAAATTTAATTTAGGAAACAGAAATTAAAACCAAACATCAGGATAGCAATCCAGAAAGGGAGGAAATATAGGCATACTGCATAAACACAAATGTAAGTATTTTAAGAGGAGTTGGAAATGTTAAAGTTACATGCAAAATGTGGGGGGAAAATAGTTCTGGTAAATATACTCTCCACTAATTGTCCTTCATCAGTAGTTTAGACTTTGTGTGCAACATACATAACTCTTTCACAAGAATTATGGTTGCCAGAAAAATGGCACCTAGAAGGCTAGCCAACATTCCTTTTAAAACTATTTTCACACATTTTTTCACAGTACACTAACATTTTTCCATATTTAGAGCACAAAGAAAAAATATATCCAAAGACTTGCAAAGCCCTGAACTTTCACATGAAGATTATAAAATATGCATTTAACTCAAGAAGGAAATCTCATACTTTCTAATAAATACCTGGGTGCTAAATGAAGCCAATATCTTACATGACATTATCTGGATAATCAATGATGGGAAAGTAGGGTTTGGCATGTGAGAAGGAGGAGTGTGAGTGGTTATGTCCTGGCAGCCCTCTCAAGAGCACTGGAGAGGCAGATATGAAGACTGCCCACTGAAAGCAGAGAATAAGGAGCAAACCAACATGAGGAAGGCTGGCACCATCTGAACCTTGCTTGATGAACGGAGGGGTGGGGGTGTTTCTGATGTGGAAGGCTAGAATTATTTTTCAATTATATATATATATATATATATATATGCGCATGCAAGGTAAATTATGTATAATGCAGATGAATGAAGAGAACGAAGTAAAGATGGAAGAGGGGCAAGAACTCAATGGATGTGGACAAGGCAAGGGAAGATGCAGAATGCAGGGAAGGGCAGTCAAGAATGTTTCTACCATTTCAATGACCTCTGAAACACAAGTTGGACATTTTACTCTATCTACCTCCTGCCTTGCAGCACCAGCAGATTCCACTTTGATGCCAGAGCCTGACCATCTACACTCTAACCTGACAGAAAGCCCAGCTAAATGTATCCTTCTCCCATTGTGTATAAAAAAAATGAAATCAGATTATATTTGGAACACACTTTTCCTATTACATTTTTTCCCCATGAATTAACAAGTATTCACTTCTGTCCAAGTTATTGGCAAGCCTTATTTGTGTGCAAAGCATTTAAAAGAAATAAACAATATAGAGGTTCACATTAGTGCCCAATATTAGACATTCCTGCTTGCCTCACATATAGCCCACATAACACGGTGAGATTGCTTCCCATAGGGAACTCTATGGACAGGCCTCGATAACACTTAAGTCCCACAGGTGCCTGCTGGCCTCCCACGCTGGAATGAACTCAATGCAGTGGTTTACTTTGCTAAAATCCACTGTGATACAGGAGAGCTTTTCTACCATCACAGCTTGAACACTGTTACCTCCATGAAGTGTGATCTGGCTCAGGATGAAGCCATCACAGCAAGGATCCTGGCTGCAGGCCTGACGGCAAAGGAGATGAACATCCGTCAAAGATGTACTAGCTGCCGAGAGAACCATAGAGCTGTATATGCCTGAAAATACATTCTGAAAATCAGTCATCTCAAAGGTCTTGAGGCCGGATGTGGTGAATTCTTGTCCTGTGAAGAGAGGGGAAAAAGAAAAGCATGTTCCAAAGAGTACAAGAGGGAAAGAAATATTTTCAGCATAGCTATGGATCAGATCTGGCTGGAAGTTTTATAACAAAAATCCAATCAAAGTAAAATCTTCCTGGACTTAATGTTTCATTACAAACCTGAAACTCATTATGAATTTGTCATCTGGTCTTCAGACTTCAGTTTGTTGCGATATTAAAAATGCCTGGTTGATACAGGGATACCAATGTGCTATACCACCAAAGTGCTTACAGTGCAGACAGCTGTACTGACAAAGCTGCACTTCGTACTTGTACAACAATGTGCTCTGCTGCACTTTAACTGAAATCATTTTATACGCATACATACATACAAACTGCTGCACTTTAACTGAAATCACATATATGTATACACACACACACACACACACACACGACTTCAAGAGGGCCAGCTTCAATGAGTTAAGGAGATTGGTAGGAGAGGCACTGGGGTCCTAGAGGGTAGGGGAACTGGGTGTCTGAAATGAGTGGTCGTTCCTCAAGGAGATGATCCTCCAAGCCCAAGGGGTGACGGTCCCAATGAGAATCAAAAGCGGGGAAAGAGAGCTCAAAAGCCCCCCTGGCTCACCAAAGGCATTCAAGAATGCCTGAAAGCCAAAAAAGAGGCATACACCCAGTGGAAGGAAGGGGCTATCACCAAAGAGGAGTATACCTCCACTGCTCGGGTCTGTAGGGGGGCGGTCAGGAAGGCTAAGGCAGACACGGAACTAGGGCTAGCATCAAGGATCAAGGACAACAAAAAGTCCTTTTTTCAATACATAGGGAGTATGAAGAAAGCACTGGGTAATGTGAGGCCCCTGTGGGATACGCTTGGCAATCTGGTGGTTGCACCAGAGGAAAAGGCAGACCTTTTTAACAATTTTTTTGCCTCCATTTTTTTGTGCAGAGACTGGGACTCCCCCACTGAGATTCAGGATGGATGCAGGAGAGACTCTGCCAGGCCTAGGGTCAGGGAAGTCTGAGTTAGGGAACTTCTGCTAGAACTGGATGTGTTCAAATAAGCAGGTCCAGATGCTCTCCACCCCAGGGTGCTGAGAGAATTGGCAGGGGTTAGAGGGACCCCTGGCACAGCTTTACGAACACTTGTGGTGCTCTGGCCAGGTGCCAGATGACTGGAAGAAGGCCATTGAGGACCCAGACAACTATAGGCCCGTTAGTCTTACTTCCATCCTGGGGAAGCTGTTTGAGAAGATTATCCAGGAGCACATCTGGGAAGGACCAGCAGGGGGAACGATGCTCAGGGGCAACCAGCATGGGTTCATTAGCATCAGGCCCTGTCAGACCAACCTGGTGGCCTTCTATGATCTGGTCACAAAATCATTGGATGCAGGTGTCACCGTGGACATAATCTTTCTGGACTTCAGGAAGGCCTTTGACACCACCCCCCACCCCATTCTCATTAAAAAGCTAGGTGACTGTGGCATTGATGCCTACACAGTCAGATGGGTCACAAATAGGCTGAGGGGCCGCACCCTGAGAGTGGTGGTGGATGGGTCATATTCAACCAGGAGGATGTGGGCAGTGGGGTCCCCCAGGGCTCGGTCCTTGGACCCACACTGTTTAATCTCTTTATTAGCAACTTGGACGAGGGGGTGAAAAGCACCCTGTTCAAATTCACTGACACCAAGATCTGGGGTGATGTGGGCATGCTAGAAGGGAGGGACAGGATACAGCTGGACCTGGACAGGTTACAGGGGTGGGCACATGAGAATAGGATTGGATTCAATACTGACAAGTGCAGGGTGCTGCACTTGGGCAGTAAGAACCAGCAGCATACCTACAGGCTGGGGAACTCCCTTCTCGAAAGCACAGAGGCAGAAAGAGATCTTGGAGTCATTATTGATGCCAAAATGACCATGGGCCAGCAGTGTGGGGATGCAGTCAGGAAGACCAACCGCACCTTATTGTGCATCCACAGATGCATCTCAAGCAGGTCCAAGGAGGTGATCCTCCCCCTCTATGCGGCACTGGTCAGGCCACAGCTGGAGTACTGCATCCAGTTCTGGGTGCCGCACTTCAAGAGAGATGTGGACAACATGGAGAGGGTCCAGAGGAGGCCACTCGCATGATCAGGGGGCAGCAGGGCAGGTCCTACGAGGAGAGGCTACGGGACCTGAACCTGTTCAGCCTCCACAAGAGAAGGCTGAGGGGGACTTGGTGGCCACTTACAAACTTACCAGGGGGACCAGCAGGGAATGGGAGAGACTCTGATCACCCGAGCACCTTCCGGAGTAACAAGGAATAATGGCCACACGTTCTTTGAGAGTAGGTTCAGACTAGACATTAGAAGGCGCCACTTCACAGTTAGGTTGGCTAAGATCCAGAACCAACTTCCAAGGGAAGTGGTGCTCACTTCTACCCTGGGGGGCTTTAAGGGGAGGCTTGACAATTACCTGGCTGGGGTCATACGAGCCCAGTATTCTCTCCTGCCCAGAGCAGGGGGTCGGACTTGATGATCTACTTAGGTCCCTTCTGACCCTACATCTATGAATCTATGAAGCTCAGTATCACTGGTCAGAGATCATGTGCTCTGTGAAATAACTATGTAATCAGAAGCCTATAAGGTAATTTTAAGCCTCAGGTTTATGGTGAGAGTATGAAACCCTAAAAAGATAGAAATATCTACTAAGTTTCAGATGAGAAATTAGTCTTGAGAAAACCTAGGCTCATTTGATGGCTTCTGCTATGGGACAAATGAAACCTGTGGAAACGGAGGTTTTTGACACGCATCTGGTAAAACCCTGCCATATCAGTTATTTTGTTTTGAGCTCTGGAGTTGGAGAAAACCCTAACCTCAAGAAGTGAGAAGCCACATGCCTGAAAAACACAAAAGGAACAGAGCAGTGGTGAAAGGTAACTTGATTTTAATAGGATTTATTTATGGTGCAATGAAGCTATTTAAGGAGCAACAAAGCTCTCGTTGAGAGCAAATGGTAGGACAATGCAGTGCAGAATGATTGAAAACAAACACATAACGTGCATGTTGGTCTGTAATAAGGTAGGTATAGTTCTACCACGGACCTGATGAAATGGCTTAATCAGCAGGGATCTTGGTTTTCTCTGATAAAAAAAATCCCCAATTTTCATTTTAAAAAAGTAACCCCAAATCCACAATTTTCCTTGATTAAAATGAAACACCACTATACATGTATATTTATATATTAGTGGTGTTTCATGTTAATCATAGAAAAATGTGGATTTTGGGTTACTTTTACTTTACAATCCAAAAATTGGGGATTTTTATATATTTTTTTTTGTATTCAGAGAAAACCAGAATCCCTGTTCATTAGATACAGAACTTTTAGTTATAGGCCCCAACATTTTATTATGATAAAAAAATGGAAGTACTAAATCAAATCCGGCTAAAAATATTTTCATGATAGCAAATATATTTTGATGGGTTTTATTTTGATTCTGGCCAGAAGTGTTGAAAAATGAGGGAGTGCCTGATAATCCAAAACCGAAAGATTATAAACTGAAAGTAAAACTGAGCAGCCTAGTACTTCTACCAAGGCCAAATAAGCTAGCAGATACTTTAAATGGACACAAAGGGTGAAAAGTAAATATGGTTATTTTCAATTTATTTAACTTGAATGACTTCCAGCTTTAAGGGGAAAGAAAATTAAGGGAATTTCCATTTTAAAGAAAGTGTTTAAAATGTTGAGACAGGTTTTTGAAATTAATAAAAAAGGCAGAAATTCTGGCCTAAAGTAAAGATGAACATTTTGGCATTTTAAATACAGTATAGAAAGGTACAGAAATCAAAGTAAAGACTCCAGCAGATCAATGCCTTGCTGTTCTCATTTGCTCCCTCCTGCCACCCTCACACCCATTAAAACACTACAGCTACAAGAACCAATGATGAAATACTATCACAAGCACTTAATGTCCCATAAAATCCTACTCAGTCACTCAAGCTTCTTACATGTATTCACACTACAAGACAATAACTAATGGCTTCAAAAACCTTTATCCCTTATTTCTAGGAGACTGACAACAATGGAGAGACTTACTGGGGACATCACAATACTATTCAGTGCTTGACCCTGAAATAAATTATGCCTCCAGATCCAATTAATCTCAACCCAATTCTCTGTAGAGAGTTAAGATATAACTATCCAAAGAATTACAAATTCAGATTTTTGTTTGTTTTGGCAGCTAAGCTATCAACTCATGCATGTTACATACCTTTCTTCAGGTATATAGTTACTTCATCCTTCTCCTGGTTTCTCACTTTAAGTAGGCAGCTAAGATGAGCAATATTAAAAGCAGCAGAGTTTCCCAAAGCACCTTGTATCTGAGAAGGATAAACACACACTCTCAATGCCTTTTAATTCACAGCAAGAAAAAGATTAGGTTGCATCAGGGTCAGACACAGGCATGGGCGAACTAGCCCAGACAGAAAGGGGGCCCAAAAATGGTGAAAATAATAATTATCATTATATATGATGAACGGGGGCCCGATACTAAAAGTTCACCCAGGGCCACCAGGAGACTAGGTATAGTGCTGGGTTGTATTTCCCATGTTTAGATGGAAGCTGAAAAGGACGATATGGCAATTAGTAGGGCTGTGCGACGCTTCGGGTGGTGATTAGATTCAGAGGAGATTCGGCCCGATTCGGCGGCTAAATCTCCAAAACCGAACTGAATCAGGTAACCAACTAAAAGGTCCAAATCGATTCAAAGCTCTCCAAAGCTTCAGAAAAGATTCGGAGAGCTTTGATGATTTGGGCAGTCCCCGAATCTCCAAATCAGATTCAGCCAAAGCAATTCGAGACAGTGATTTGAATCAACGAATTGCATCACTGTTCCCCAAATTGGCCGAATCCGAAGTGAATACTAGCTGCTTTGCACAGGCATAGTAATTAGTACACGTGTCATAACAGCCCCAAATCCACAAGCCCGTAGTTCTGCTATCTGTTTAGAGCCCTTCAGGCTGGATTAGTGGATGCTACCTTGTTGCTTTGGAAATCATAGTAGCTTTGTAAGTAGGGAACTACCAAAAGTAAATAGCAAAACACCCATGAAATGGATGAGGAGATGGCAACTAAAACCGTAATTTGATTCAGCGGCATTTTTGAAAAAAGGGAATTTGTGATGGATGTGGGTAAAGCTGCAGTGAAGGAGCACATGGGAGCAAATGCCTTCCAAGAAAAGTCAGGGTGATTAGCCTTTTTCTATGTTCAACAGTGGCAGACACTGCATAAGGGCATGAGAATAGCCAGGCCACATTCTGTTCCTCCCCTATCTCCCCTCTCCTTCCTCATCCTCTTCTTTTCCCATCTTTTGCATTGAAATCATTCACTCTACCTTATATGCTGTCCTACGCTGTCCTTTCACAGCATCTGATGAAATGAACTTGAGTTCACAAAAGCTTTTGCTCCATATAGATCTTATTTAGTTAGAATCTATGATGTATATCTACCTTGACTTGTCCCTGACTGCCACTGACTCACCGTGACACCTTGGGCATGTTGATTCATCTTATTCCCTGTTTTAGTGTCACTGTGCTGCAACAAGGGTAAAATATTAATCACTGCAGGCATGTGGAAATTACGTAGGAATTACTAGCATCACGCAACAGCCATCATGTCCAGAAGTAAACTAGTGATTAAAAAATAACTAGCTATTTTGGATGTCTGCATTCATACCCTTAAAAAGACACATTGTAGAATGTGAGCTGCTAGCCACTTTCTAAAACTCAACTTTCTTTAAGATGTTCAACTAAAAGGCAAATTATCCAAAATCACATCTGGAAAGTCTTAACCATAGCATCTTTGCTCATCCATCAACGCTTCACCAGCATTATACATGAGCCCACTGACTAGGGAAACCAGCAAATGCCTTGTCATTTTATCTAAATGACGTCTAAAATGGGATCTCAGGCACCCTCCCGGTTATTAGTAGCAAGAACATTGTTTTTACCAGTCCAGATGTTGTACAGTTGAAATTGGTTTCAACAGCTCTGTATAGTTCACACAGCACTTTAGAGCCTGTAGTAGATACTGTGACAAAACCGCATGATTCGTCTTTCACACAATCTGAAAGCATAAATAAATATATATATATAATTACACAATTCTGTGCATTTACAGCTGGGCAATGCATGGAGGGATTTGTGGTGGAATCAAAGTAGGTCCCGAGTATAATGGCCACCCTGAGTGGTGCTTCCTAGGTCAGTGGGACTGTCCAGGTAGGAAAGGGGAAGGTGTTGATTGTTAGTGACTGGTGACTCTTGGATCTAATCTTAGCTTTAATTTGCCTTTTTTTTTAATACAGGTTTTTAAGTAGGGTCAGAGTGATGTTTCTGCCATGATGGTCTAGGAACTGTTTTGGAGGAAATCATTTTTTGTGAAATCTTTTATTGGACAACTGTACCTGTCCCTCACGTCCAGCCAGACCTGTGGAAGAGCATTTGATGCTTGAAAGCTTGTCCAGCATCTCTCCTGATTAGACAGCTTGTCCACTAAAAGATATCCCAGAAAATCCTTGCCTCTTGCACTGGCTTTTAAATTAGTTTTGTTAACTGGTGCAAAGGTGTGGACACATTTAAATCAGCTTACACCTAGTTTATAATTAGCTTCAGCTGGTAACACCAGTTTAAACTGGTTTCATTCTTCAGGCAGGGCTTTACAACAATGTACAGTACAGTAGTTAAATCAGTTTTAAAACATCTGGTAAATAAAATCAGTACAGCTTGTAAGAGAAACAGGAGTTGCCACTCTGAATCAAATCTCTAGCTAGCTTAGTATCCTTACTCTTACAGTGCCCAGTTCCTAAAATCTATATAACCTAGTAGCCTATCTCCAAGTGCCTGGTGCCAAATGCATCATAAAGGGCTGCAAGAGACCTAAACGACAGTTACAAGATAATCTGAACTCAGAATACCCATCACCACAAAGCAGACCAGTTTCCAGTGCAAATGAGGGATTTAACAAAAACAAAGGGTGCCTACACTTTTGAAAGCCATACCAGTGTTGCCTTGCCTTATGCAATATGATGAAAGAAAACACGTTCCCAGAAACAAGACCTCCCTCCCCTGATATACAAGGAAAGTGACCAAAAGCCGGTATCACTTGCTCGTGGCGTATTTGCTGCTGAACAGCCAGACAGGTAACGCTTATCTAAGGGTATAGCAGTAAATTTAGTGCAAGGAAATAATTATCTTTGGGAGCCGTAACTGAAGGCTGCACACATTCAGCCACCTCTCACCTGAAATACACTGCCAGAAAGGACTCTGAAGGTCTTCTTGGTCTGTTTCAGATCGAAAAACCTCAGCATTGTCCGTGCTGTAGATAATTTTGGATGTAGGGACTCTCTCAAACTTTCTGAGCACTAAAAGAGAGACAGGGTGGTCAACTCTTGCACTGGTGATTTCTACCAGTTACACTTACAGTTGCCAGGGAAACACAAGACAGACTTCAGTGAAAAAGGAAAACTCAGGATGGCAGAAAAAGAGTTAATTGGTCAAATGAATAAACAGCATCTATAAGTGGGTTTTCCATTAAATATAATCATATTCAGGAAAATGTCTGCAGACAATCTACGACAGAGCTCTCCTGTGGAGCACTGAGTGCTCAAGACCAAACCTCTCTGTAGCATGAGTGGCAATTGGGCAAGAAAAGTATATCCTTGCTTTTAAATGTGCAGGGTTACCCAGGGCTAAGCTATACCTGTGGATAAGCTGCTATTTTAATGTTTGGATGACAAGGTGACAGTGGGCTAAGAACTTAAATTATAAGGTTATTAAGCTGATATGTCATTGTACCAAGCGTACATAGGATCTGGTACCACTGAGAGTCGTATTTTTTCATGACTCCCTATACAGTATTGAAGAGACAAACCCTGGGCATTCTTTTGCTCATGTGCACACAGATGTTGTGGCAATGGACAGCCCAAGTGACATGTCAATGGCAATGGGAAGAGCATGTTTCCCAAGGCCCACCCAGGAAATGCACAGATTAACACCATTGCTGGTCCTTCCATGACTGGACGTGCTGAAGGCAGAGCAGGAGGATGATGAGGGACATAATCCCAGAGTTGTTCTGACATTAGCACTAAAACAATCAACCCCAGGGTGAACTCTTTAAGTATTAAGTATCTATATTAAATGGAAAGAAACAGGAAGAACAGACCCCAGGTTAAAAACTATTTTAATCACAGAGGATCAGCCCCACTACCCCTGAGCAACTGTGACTTTCATCTATTTAAGATTCTTACCAGGCACTGCTAGATGATATAGCATCTCAAAAAGATGAGCTAATTAAACCACACCATGCCACAGAAACTTGGATAACTGATCTACAGGTTATTCTTTTAGCCTGGACATGGTGTCATCACTATCAAACAACTTCCCTGTTGACTGCTGTTGACAGATGGTAAAAAATGAATTGGAGGGGAGCTAGGCTCTCCCTCCAAACGTAGGTCCTTCCAGGTCAGGGAGCTCCCTGCTTTATAGATAAATGGCCAGAGACCATAGAGCTGTCACTTCACTGTTTTTCAGAGTTACTAATTCAATTTTAAACTATTTTAAAAGATTTTGAAATGAACCCATTGACAGCTTCCCCCTCCAAGTCTTCTCAGGTTTCACTGCATTCAAGCTAAATTTAGTCTCATATGTAAATGGGAAATTTTGGAAGGAAAAAAAAGGAAGAGAGACCATTTTTCTAAATTTCCTCCCATAAAATGCAATCCTAAAATAAAACCTCACTATCATCTTTGTATGATTTAAAGTCATTATGTGCCCAGCATCAGTAGTTCAGTTGCATTGTTTTCTTTTCCCCCAGGGAAACACCGGGTCCAAACCATTTGCATGGACTAAGCCATCTTGCTGAAACTATATCCCAGAAGTCATCCCCAGCAAATGGGAAGTTCTGAGGTAGTGGAAACCAGAATGTGGAAAGCTCTATGGAAATAACAGAGCTTTATTTATTAATACATCTTATTCACAGATGCTAGGGTCGTAAGGGACCTCAACAGATCATCGAGTTTGACCCCCTGCCAAGGCAGGAAAGAGTGCTGGGGCAGATGACCCCAGCCAGATAACTATCCAGGCGTCTCTTAAAGACCTCCAAGGTAGGGGAGAGCACCACCTCCCTTGGAAGCCCACTCCAAATTTTGGCCACCCTTACCATGAAGAAGTTTTACCTGATATCTAGCCTAAATCCACTCTCTTATATTAAAATACAATGAGGTACTTGGTAATAGGTAATGAGGTAATAGTGTTCTTAGAAGAAAAGAAAGCAGTATGTTTTAAAGGCCAGATCCAGTTATTCATGCATCTGCTTAAGCAGGACTTAGGTAAAATTTAGTCCCAATGAGTGATTTAAAAACTTGAGTTCCAATGAGCGATTTAAACTGACCCCGTTCTGTAAGCCACAAAACTCAGGAAGCAATTAAGTTCATGCCATCCTTCTGTTTTGGGCTGAAAAGTTCCCTAGGTACATACACATGGCCTTCTGAGAATGCCCCGAAGCAATCCAGTTCTGTCACCTGGATGCCCGACTTCCACCCATGTCGTTATGATCCAGATTGGGGCTCGCGAATTGTACAAGTCCCTGAAGAATGACTTTGTAGCCTACAGGTTAAGGCAGTTCCTTGGGCTTGGGGGATCCCATTTCCAGATGCTGCTTCCAAGGTTATTTCTGTTTTATCACCAATGATTATCTAATGCAACTCCAGAACCCAGGTCTCCCCCACTCTTATCAGGGTGCCATTACCACTAGGCTATGGACAAAAGCCTGTTCCCCTTCTGGCTCTTGTCTACTTTGATGCTCTATGGCCCAGCTTCAACAAGAGGAGTGGAGGATGCTTAGGTCACACCACTGTTTTTATATGGCCCCTAGACATCCAACCCTGGTCAAACTGGATGACCCTGCTGTCAAAGGCAACCTAAGATGCAGACATTCCAGTGCTTAAGTGCAGGCACCTAAGTGACCAAACCGACCATAAACCGTTGGACACGGTAGATTTTAAAGTGTAACGATTACCTAGTTTTACTCATTTGTTTTGATGCAATTATAAAGACACAAGGACAAAGACACAAAGAGCAAATTCATTGCCATTAAGAGCTGAACAGTGCACAAAGATGGAAAGGAAGAAATATTTTCCTCTTGGAATATTGCTAAGAGTAAGACCCTGAGACGACATAGCAAGGAGGAGCCAGATTTCAAGTCCAAGAGGTTTAAATTATGGTACAGTTTGGATGCCAGTTACTCTGTGACCTGGAGAAAGTGAACCTCGAGGAAGGACCAGTAGTGACACCAACAGGTCTTTCCCTCTGGGTTTACTACCAAATGGCACAGACCCTCTGGTGGTGTAAATAAGGAGTAGCATTGAATTCTGGCCCATAGTGTCCACCTGTCTCTGTAAAAGCATTGGCAATAAAGGCTGAATGGGTAGGGGAAGAGTACCCTGACCTCTTTCTCCCATTGGCCAAGGGCAGCTGAAGGCAGGTTTTACCAGGTGCTCCTTGGGGTATAAGCATGGACCCAGGGTTGGTCTCTGCCCCTACAATAATGCATAGGAATGGATGTAAATTGCCACTGCATGCCAGGTTGGAGCTGGCATCCAACAGGAGAATCTTGTGGCAAAATTGTGCTCAAAAATGTCTGGAAAAACCACAAGATGATAGTCTACGATTCATTTTCAAAACAATCATGTATCCTCTTAAAGCAAAACAGCCAACACTAATCAGAAACGAATGTTTGTTGTTGTCAGAGATGAGTCGGCAGGTGCTTTTGATAAAACTGTCATTTCTGCTTGGAAAGAACACGGGTGAGCCAAATATATAGCACAAAAACCCATTTTGCTTAAGTTCAGCTGCAGAGAGGGTTGAAAGATAAGGAATACGGGGGAGGACGTTCTTCCTTTCGAAAGCAGGATTCCAAAACCTTCTTGTGCATAATAGTCACACGATGTCTATTCAAAGACACAGGCTAAAGAACTGTTGTAATCTGGCCTGGTTAAAAAGAGGGGAGGTAAGTGCTCCCTCCAAGAGTAGGTCCCTCCAGATCAGGAAAGATACAGAGAGAGACAGACAGCTCTCTTTGGTTTCTGGTCCTCAGGGAGGACTATACTACGGTTGCTCAGGGTTGCAGGGGGAAGGTCAGGAAGGCCAAGGTGGAGATGGGACTGGGACTAGCTTCCCAGATCAAGGACAACAAGAAGTCTTTTTGCCGTAGGGGGCAAAAAGAAGGTTCCGGGTAACATGGGGCCCCTGCAGGACACGCTAGGAAATTTGGTCGTCACACCAGACGACAAAGCTAACATATTTAATGACTTCTTTGCCTCCATTTCCTGAACAGGGACTGGAACAGCCACCCCTCTCTGGGCCCCCCTCAGACCCCAGGGGAGGTGCACCTAGGCCAAGGGTTAGTGAGGATCTAGTCAGGGAACTTCTGGAGGGACTGGATGTATTTAAATCAGCTGGTCCGGACAATCTCCACCCCCGACTGCTGAGGGAATTGGCTGAGGTCATTGCAGGACCCCGGCACGGCTG